TCTCTGTGGTGAGCTGTTAACGTCCAATATAAGAGTTAGTGGGAAATCTGTTCCATTTTCTTTGTAAGAGATTTTATGGCAGATTTTCTCCCTCAGGAACTATTCTGGACCATTTAGTGGGTGAAGATATCATCGCAGACTACCTGCTCTTTTCTTTGAACAGGCTTGGAAAGTTTGGGTATAAATTTGACTATTCATTTTTTGAATACTTAACTGCAAGTGGAATTCTCTGATGTGTTTATCTCTTACCTTTTATGTTTTTAACTATTTGGGTGTTTGGCTACAGGTACGTGGAAAAATATGACCTCTCAGAGCCAAGTGATGACATCCAGCATGTCCTTAAACGCATCGCTGTGAAACTTGGAAAGACTCAGCGAGTCAAAGCCATCACTGGAGTTGGTGAGAAAGAGAGAGTCCTACAGGCCAACCTAGCTTGTGCAGTTTCTAATATACAGTTTAGATTCAGATCATTTTGTTATCTACACAGTAAGGTTCTAAGATAATAAAATATATTTGCCAGCACCAGGACGACACAAAGATAACATAAAGGTATTAGGTCCGTTATAGTTCTAATACTTGTGATATTTCCTGGCTTTTTAAAAGTTTTTCTATGAAGAATCAAAATCTAATTTTGCTGCCACTTGATGACGAGAGATTTATATTTTGATCACAATTATGGAGAACTGCCCGCAGAGTTCATATGCTTTATAAAATCGCTCGTTAAGGAATTCTGTGTATTAATTCAGCCTTAACCTCCTTACAGAGGTACATGTAAATTAATGATATGTTTCATTTTATTCTAGCAGCATGTTCTGCCACTGAAACTAATAACTTATTTAATTTGAGTATTTATATCCTGTTTGCAGCATAGCTCTGAATATATTGTCTAGTTTTGCCAACAGGAGAAAAGCTCTCTTTATTCTGGAACATTTTAGAGAATGTTGGAGCAGATTGAGTGATGGATCATTATTCTGTGTACAGTTCTTCTAACCTAATCAGAGACTGTCATTGCAGAAGGTTAATTTGATGTCATATAAACCATTTCTCCTCCTGACCGGGTCGTTTTGGATCATTATTATGCTGAAGAACCAGTGAAAACCCATTTTTGATTTTCTAGCAGCTACCCTTAGATTTCCCATTGCAGTAGTTTAGGTGTATTATTAAGCAGTTTCCCTCGGATCTGAGGAAGAGAAACGTGCCCACAGCATCAGAGATCCTCTACCATGCTTGGCAATGGTCATAAGATTCTCATTTTTAGTCAATTTTCTTTTAAGCCAAACCAGGAGTGTTCTTCCAACGAAGCTTAATTTGAGACTCATCTTAAGAAAAGAAAAGATAAAGTTCCAGCTTTATTACATCTGAGCTAAAAATCAAACTTATTTGCTAACTAAATAATTCTAATTAAAGGTGGAAGTATTGCAGATTTTCAGTCAGATTAAGCTTGTTTCTACATATATTTACATTTCATAAACACCCACAGTGAAATGGCATGACACTCTTCACTACACATTTACCAATTTTATGATTTTATAAAAATACTGAACATAATTAGCTCTTTTTCTTTCTTTTTCTTTTAGGAAACATCACTGTCACCATTCCAAACTACACAGCAGCAGCATACAATTTCATCAGAGCTTTTAGGAAAGGAGAATTGGGACAAGTAATGCTGGACTAGTCTTAAATTTTTTGATTTTTTTCACTACTTAAATGTCAACAAAAGAGAATAGTTTATGTCTCATCTGATACAAGGCAGATGTCTGCTTCCCCATATTGTGTATAAATAAAACTATTTAACAGAAACAATCTGAGAAGTTATCTTTGTAAGACAGAAAAGAGGATGTCGGTATGATTCAAACTGTTTATTTATTTGCCGAAAGAGTGATACAAATCCTTGTATTTGATATGTACACGTGTTGCAGACTATATTAGAGTGCACTTATAGCGATGGAACAGTCTGTTGCTCCTGAGAGAGATACTTGGGAAGGATGGACACAAGAGGAAAATGGGAAAAAGGAGTAATGAAGAGGACATCTGCTTGATTATATTTGTGATGCATCTCAAACCAACGATAAAGGAAAGTTGTAAAGGGAAATGTTTTGTCTAGGACATAAATTATTCAAAACACCTATATTTTTGTGGATATAATAGTTGTGCAACATACCTTAAAAAAAAGCAAAGGTTCTCATTCAGTAAGAGCGATTTAATTTTAGACCGGATTATGCTGGTTCCCACTTGATTTCAGTTTGTTATTCATGTGCCACCAAGAGGTTTTATCATTGGATCAAAGTCTGCACACCCCATAAAACTGTAGGTGAGGTGTAGAGCACTGAACACAGTCTGAGTTGACTTTGCATTTTTCTAGTGCTATATTAAATGTTTTGTAAGCAAAAATAAAATGGCAGTATAGTAATAACTGTAGGAAAACAGTTATATTTGGCTCTCAGTTATAGAACATTTTGCATGGTTCACTCCTTACAAGATAAACTGTGTGAGGGAATGCTTGTTTCCACTGGTATAAAATGACAGAGTAATGTATTTTTTTACTGAGTCCTTCCACTTTGGGCTTATGATCAGGAATGTATCATAAAATACGGGTTTTATTTTTACAGTATACAGTCCAACGCCAGTCCATACTTTGTGGAAACTGTTGCAATAATAACATGAACAACATTGGAGAGAAATGATCCGTTCTGAGTTGAGCTTGACATCAGTGCATCAAAGTAATTGGTCCTGTTGTAGTAATCCAGCTGCTCGTCGGAGCTGTCCGTGTTGCTGCGGCGGTAAGCGGACGCGTACCATTTGTCCGCAGTTAAAGCCACCGCGGCTCCGGCCGCAGCAGCGCTCGCCACCCTCACCGGTGACGATCGTCCAGCGACCCTGAAGCGAGAGCGCGTCCCACCGTAGGCTCCTCCTCCCCGGTAGGTGCCTCCCGTGGAGCTGCGCGAGGGGGATCCACGAGAGGAGCCCCGGGAGCCTCCACGACCTCCTTTAGAGAGCGCAGGCTCACACAGGAAGGCGGAGATCAGCAGGCAGGTCCAGCATGCTGCGACCAGCTGCTTCATTCCTGACATCTGTGCAAGAAAAATGGAGTGAGATAATGAAAATCCAGGACTCAGGGTGGATCAGTGATGATCTGAGGTGCTGTGAAGCTAAATACTCCTGATCAACAAAGAAAATGAGCATGCATTACACCTGACACGTCTCCTACATGCAATAACAGTCATAGTGGGGGATTATAAAATGATAATTAAAAAATGCAGACAGTCTTTCTGATAATAGGCCTCCATTTAAAATAAATGCGCTTTTACGTCCATTTTAACCTATTTTCTTTGAGTGTTTAGTGCATTTGGTAAAAAACAAACAAATAAATAAAAATTACAAGTGTGTCGATTGTTAAATATAATTCAAATGGACGGATGTATCACCTATGATGCGCGCCCCTCTCCTAAATTAGCCTAGATGAGCTTCTCCCACAGGGACGGTTTATCTTTAAAATGAATGCAGCCACATGCAGGGAAATAATGCGTATAATAATAATAATAATAATATATAAGGCTTACCTTATCGCTTATATCCTTGCTGATGTGGCCCACGGAGAAAGAGCGGATTGTCGTGGATGGAGAGGCGCGTCTCCCCAGACGAAGCCGTGAACGCGCGGCGCGCTCATCCACACACGCATTAACATGTTTTATCTCTTTGTGTATTTCATTAACCCTTAATCCTATTCAAAGCTGATTTTTTATTTATTTTTTTAAGCAATAGCATTAAAATACATTTATTTAGGTTACCTACCGTGGGGAAATTCAGTTGTATCTGAAGCAAGAAGGAAAAACCTTTGTATAGCCTACTGTAAAGTTATTATGATTGTGTACTCAGATTAAAGGAACTGTGCAATTTAGCTGGAATGTTTGAAAATGAATAAACGCTTATGTAAAATTCAAACTGCGACAGATTATTTACAAAATACAATAAGATGGAAATAGCATTATAACTGATGGAGCTTGTTGATAGAAATAAAGAAGAAGCAAGGATCTGGCATAATAATAATTTGTACTTCAAAGATGCAGTCTGTCAGTTAAATATCTCTCAGGTTCTGGTGGAACAGTCTCATAATAATACAGTAATAATGATTAAACTTTATTGATCTCAGACTGGAGAAACATTTTCCAACAATAATCCTAAAAAAAAGCTATAGTCTTTCCTTATATCCGAGTATAAAGCTGGTCTTTTTGATAAGCTTATCTGTTCCCTCTTATGGAGGACCAATCCTGCCATAATTAAAAATAAATACAGAAATAAATAAATGCTCCAAAAATAAATAAGCATGCAATAATTTGCCCTCAACAATACAATAAATAAATAAATATAGGTAGAAATTAAATTATACAGTGACACATAAATGTATATTTCTTTTAATTAGCTTGTTTCTTTTTTCACCTTTGTAATAATTACCTTATTCATTTGTTGTCTGTAATAATCTTCAGCTTGATCCATTTATTACTTATTTTTTTAAGTTTTTACTTATGTGCATTATATAATATTTTGTCTGTATTATCCTTTCTTTGTATTTTTTTTACCCTATTTATTTCTTCTATGCTATTTATTTCTGCCTCTCGTATTTACATTTCAGTCTGCATTTCTGCCTCATCATGCAAATAAATAAGGTAATTATAAGGTAATTAATTATAAGGTAAATATTACAAAGGCGAATAAATAAAGAAGCTAATTAAAAGAGATATGTACATTTATGTCTCACTGTAACATTTGTTTATTGTATTTTGGGTGGACAATTAATTGTATGCTTATTTATTTTTTGAGCATCTATTTATTTCTGTATTTATTTTTGATTATGGCAGGATTGGTCTTCCATACTCTCTCGGCTGTAAATAAATGTATTCTCCAACAAACTGCGCCATGAAAGAAGTTTAAACGGCTGCATGCACTTCCGTCCAAAAGCACTAGGTGGCGGTAAAGTAATTTCTTTTAAACATACCACCACAATTATCAAACGACAAAGAAGAGATTGCAAGAGGAAGGACTCGCTGACCAACCTGCTGCAAAGTTCAGTGTCGCTCCACAGCAATGGCGTTTTTGTGCAGAAACGCAGGATTAGTCCTGAGGTCCTCCAGAGCAGCGCCGGCTCTGCTGTCGGCTGCCCGCCTCTACAGCTCAGGTCTGTGGTCAGAAAACAGCCAGTGGTGCGAACATCTGGCCCCTACAGCACAATGTCAATAGGGTGATCTCCAAGTTCGGAGCGCATAAAAGGCCCTTGAACCTTGCTGTTTAATATTATTAGATTTATTTGGACGAACCGCTCTGTTATTTTAAAAGCATATTTTAGAACTCCCGACTAGTGTATCTAAAAAATAAAAAAAAAGGCTGCAGCTGTCATAGCAGCATGGTTTGGATTTTTTGCTGAAATAAAACTTCAGATTTTTTTGCAAAAGTAATTTTTTGTTATGAAAACGGTTTTAAAATATTGATCTGGTCATTTATTCTTCATTTATTGTTTAAATAATCCTAAGGAGGCCCGAACCATGCAGATTTTTACTCTTTAGTGGACAGAAATCTAATATATCAAGTTGGATATTGATATAAATGCTCATTCTTTACTCCTATTAAGTCGACTAACATTTGTTTTAATTTTGTTTTTTTTCTTACATTAACTTTATAATTTTTCAACGTTTTATCTCTGAAACCCAAGTGACCAAACTGTGCCAGAGGTCAGGGAATGTTCCCATTCATTTAAAGGACTGATTGTTCTCCTTCTTGGCGGATAAACTGTCTGATTTTTTTTGGATTTGATTACTATACTTTAACTTATTAATCACCAGATGTTTAAGTAAGACTGTATTCATTATGTTTAGTTATCTGTTGTTGTTTTTACCAAAGAAGCTGTTGGTAGGGGTGTAAATTCTCATGCCACCTTGTCTAGTTAATGGAAATATGGTAAAATAAAGGCAAACATGGTTTAACTTTGGGTCAGACGTGTTCTAGGTTGTCTTATCCCTGCTTTTTTCCTATTCACACAGGTGGTCAGTACGAGTATATTTTGGTGGAAAAGCGAGGCGTGCAGAATAATGTTGGCTTCATTCAGCTGAATCGACCCAAAGCTCTCAATGCTCTCTGTGACGGCCTGATGAGGGAGGTGGGGAAGGCACTGGACGCCTTTGAGGACGATCCACACATTGGAGCTGTTGTCATCACTGGCAGCGAGAGAGCCTTTGCTGGTATGGAAGCAAACGTTTTTTTTCTTCGGGCAGGTCTCTTGGATAAACGTGATTATAACAATGCATGTCAGAGAAGTATGATGCTTTTTATATTCTGGCGGGGAGTGGCGGCCTACTGATTAGGGTATAGATCCCACAGACTGCCACTCTGGGTCTCTGAGCAAGACCCTTAACCCCCTTATTGCTCCCCGGGTGCCCCATGATGGCAGCCCACTGCTCCCCAATGGGATGGGTTAAATGCAGTTAAATTTCTCCAATGTTAGTTCAATAATGTTCAGTTATTCTATTTTTATTGATTTCATTTTTCAGCTGGAGCTGATATTAAAGAGATGCAAAATCGAACCTTTCAAGAATGTTATGGTGGGAACTTTCTGGCTCATTGGAACAGAGTGTCCACAGTGAGAAAGCCTGTAATCGCAGCTGTTAATGGATTTGCTGTAAGTATCATGAACTTATTTGTTTCCTCCCTTTTTCTTTCTCTCTCAGAAAGAATCGTGCATGTAAATGCCCCAAGGCTTTAGGGAATTGTCAATAAAAGCAGACTACATGGTGTATTCAGACTCCATCTCCTCAGCCCCCCTTAGTATCTGGGTAAAGCTCAACCAGATATGGGAACTAAATACGTCCCTTAATGAGGGCGCCATCAGAATAAGAATTTAGCTAAAATTTAATGCATATACTTTCTTTAATGTATGGATCTATATCAAAATAAGAACATTTTACATTCCTGTTGCTGCATTTATCAGTTTGCCTGAGTATTTTAAAAATTTTCTTTACAATTCATGTTTAGATGCTATAAAGCTGTTGTGCTTGTAAAGGTTTTCTCACTGAACCAAGTCTAATACTAATCAGTGCAAAGTAAACTACTAGACATTTTTTATGAACTTTAATTTTTATAATATTTAAAAAAGAACAGATCTTCAGAACCTAGAAGAGAGGTTCAGTTTTCTTTGATTCTGTCGTATTCATTTTGTCTTTACCATCTGCATTGTCAGGGGAGGAAGCAATGAGAAACAAAGTGGAGAAATCTGAGAGACTGAGACGTAGTTTCAGGGTCATAGAGTCCAATGTTATTCTGTTCATATACCAGCTTTTTGGATTATTGCATAATGGTACTCTAAAGTAGTTCATTTTTACACCTTCAAACCTGTATATACACATTTATATTCAGTAGATATGTGTATTTGGGGGATTACAGCACATTCTGTACATTTCCAACCCAATCATTGCACTGTGCAGGTTCCACATACAGAGTGTGATGGTCTTCCCGTTGGTTCTGTTTCTATTGCAGCTGGGTGGAGGCTGTGAGCTGGCCATGATGTGTGACATCATTTATGCTGGAGAGAATGCCCAGTTTGGACAACCAGAAATCCTGCTGGGGACCATTCCTGGTAAGGACCTTTTTTTTTTTTATTCCTGGGCAGACATTACAGCCCTTTAGCTCTGACGCTTTATTACTGTTTTCACCTGCAGGAGCGGGTGGCACCCAGCGCCTGACTCGGGCTGTTGGCAAATCCTTGGCAATGGAAATGGTACTAACAGGAGACAGGATTAACGCTCAGGAGGCCAAGCAGTCAGGTAATGGTAACAGTGTTTCATCACTGTAGTGTAAAGATGGACCAACCAGTATAAACTTTTGTTTGTTGGTTTTTTGGTGTCAAACATTTTTTTTAGAGTTTGATCACACAAATGTAATTTTTTTTACTAGTTGATTTTTGTAGCATTTTTTATACCACCTAGGTGTATTTTGGAAGCTTACATTTCCTTAATTTATTTATGAAATTACTCTACAACATAAAAAAAAAGAAAAAGTAGAAATTATTGCCTGATTAAAAGCTGATTTACTAAGCAGTAGTAAAACCAATGATTGTGCAATTATGACATAAGTTTGTGATGCTAAAGGTTCTCAAAATCAAGGGAAACCTGTGAGGATCAGTTTTTGTTTGAATCAGAGCTATTTATGCTGACAGTTTCAAATGGATAAACAGTTATAGTTTACAGTTAGTAATAAAAGTTATCACACCTCCAAATGTCAAGAACTTGTGTGTGAAGTAATATGGAGAACTTCAGAAATAAACAGTTAAAAACACGAAGGTGTCTCAGATATTTGCAAAAGAATGTGCTGAGATCAAAGGAAAAACCAATATAAGTATAAAAAATAAACCTTGAATATTAATGCGTGCGTAAAAACAAATCGTTACAATTTCAGAGTTTACTAGAAGAAAAATTAAGTCATAAGGAACAAATGTTTCCGGTTCTTTGATAGGAAATATCAAATATCATTCAGTTAATAGGTGTTCTGCTTTAAAGTTTAACTCATCCCAAATCATTTTTTTTGCAGACAAACTGGATCTGTTGGCTCTATTTTAATCTTATAGTACAAGTTTTTATATTGTTAAATGAACTTATAGAGTTCTGTTCTTAAAATCACCTCATTGCTGCCCTCTTAGGATTGAATTGCGACTGTTATATTTTCCTATTGTTTCAAATACTACTTGCTTTATTGATCATAGCCCTGCGTCATCGCTAAGTCAGCAACTGTTAAGGCTCAGACCCACTGGCCTCCCCAAAGGCTTCCTCGACCTCCAGGGTGAAGGATATAACAATCCCTCCGCCACCTCACCACTTGGGGTCTTTTTACCCCAACTGCTTTTGTGACATTTTTCTATGGGTTTTTCTTTTACATTGGGATGAGTTGCACTTCAAGGAAACTTTCTTTTATGAATCTAAATGACTTCCAGAGAAATTGCTGGTATCCTATGTGCTTCATGGCAAGCTGCCATGTGTGATTTTGTGTATTGTCAGGTTTGGTGAGTAAGGTTTATCCAGTGGACCAGCTTGTGTCTCAGGCTGTTCAATGTGGAGAGAAAATTGCAATAAATTCCAAACTGGTCTCGGCCATGGCTAAAGAAGCTGTAAATGCAGGTACGTAGTGAGTGTTATTCTCATAATGTTCAGTTATCTACTTTTTCAGTTTTTGCTAATATATTCCTCTGTGCCGCTGCAGCTTTCGAACTGACTCTGGCTGAAGGGAATCGCTTGGAAAAGCGTTTGTTCCACGCTACCTTTGCAACGGTTAGTACAATAGTGTCTTTGGAGTCAGGTATGAATATTAACCTCGTCGCTCAGAGTCAACTAATTATTCTTAAATCGGATTTTCTTACAGGATGACCGTAAGGAGGGCATGACAGCATTTGTGGAGAAAAGAAAAGCCAATTTTAAGGATCAGTAGATAAGAAAAAAATCACCAATAATCAGGAGGTTTCTGGTATAAATTGATCTCTCCCTCACTAACGGTGCATTGTGTGGCACTATAATGTGGCAGAGCAAACAGGCGAAATAATGAGGTGTAGCTGAAAATCACAGCCTTTTGGGGCAGAGTGATGAAATGAAATGCTGTCTTGCATCAGGAGGTTGAAATGTAATGTGGATTCCATAATTGTTTCATAGTCTGTGTGTTCAGGAAGGATAACGACAGATGACTAGTTTGTTTTAATTTTGCCTTTTCACTTTTCAAATGTGTATACCATTTTGCAAATAAAAAAACAAAAACCAATCTAAACACTAATAACTGATGTTTTTTTTTCTAAAAATTATAATAAAAGCTATAGGTGATAAATTTATGTGTTTACCTCATTTTTCTTAAGTATAATTTCAGCTGTAATAAGGAAACGATCATGAACTTCTGCAACATCTGCTGTAGACCACTTGGGTAGAAGTTGAATTTCAGTTCTCTAAGGAAACAAGTAATAAGCAACATCTCATGAAAGTCCTATGAAAATATGAGTAAACAATCACATTAATGTTTAAAGTGCTGTGATCATTACTCTGAACTTAAGAAAACTGATTTTACTTGTAAAACTCAGAAAGCTTTTTTTTCTCATTTGAATGTAAAGATGCATTTAAACAGGATCTCCCAATGAAAATCAAAACCACAAACAGAAATGTCCTAAAGTAGAGTAGAAAACAACACAGAAGATATTTTGCTACACTATTGACAAGCAAGCCTCTTTATAATAAAAGTTTAAAAGAAATTATTTGTCCTTCACATTTTCTTAATTCTATCTGTATGTAATTGAAAATGTAACCCATGACCTGTTGTTCATAAACAGCATTACTAAGTAAGTAGTGTAAATTATGAGTAGCTAAAGTAAAATTCTAAATTTCTTTCATAAATTCACAGTCAGCTGTTCTATGTTAACTGTCATTATGTTCATACATTAATGTGTTTAAATATGTAATTAAGTTAAGTAGAAGGAAATATTTATTTGAAAAAGATGCTCAAGATACAAAGATTAAAGGAGACTTGAGAGGATTGTACAGTATAGCCAGTGAAAGATTCTGGAGAGAACCACTGTGGTTGCTCGATGCTCATTGCTTCATGCTTTTTTGTGTTGATGAATTTTATAGATTTGCTTTTTTTATTTTCGGGCAGAACCAAGAACCAAGATCTGATTTAATATTTCTTATTGATTTTTCCTGTTGCCTGGTCTGACCTGAACCCCATAGAGAATCTTTGAGGTTTTGTCAATTATTGGATAGGAGTTTACATAGCATTCATGGTGTATTTAATACCTGAGCAGAGCCACAGAGATTAGTGTTTAAACTACATTATTTAAAATTTCTTTTTTTATATAAATAATGAAATAAACTAACTCTTAAGTGTATTTGTGTGTACCTGCATGCTATACTTAATGTTGTAAATAGGAAATCATTTACCAACTTGTGAACATTTGGCTGTTTCTAAACATTTTTGTTGCTTGAAGAGATCCTTTGCACAGTAACTGCAGCACTGATCCTTAAAGAGAACACCAGAACCAATTTGGTTAACATTCTCTTTCTGTTGCTGCTCCAATCATCAGGAGGCATCTTTCCTCCCTTTGATCTTCACATGGCGGCGCCTCATATCCTCACAAGGAGGTGGTCTAATTGTTTTGGTGGGGAGGGTTATTACTATTATTCCGTATTCCCCCTGGATGTTGCTCACTTGTCAGCTCCTCTCACAAAACATTTAAACGGAACTAAAAAAAATCGTCTTCTCCCTCTGCAGGAAAGCACAAAAATCCACTGAGAGGAGCAAAAAAGGAGCCTCTCTTTGAGGCTGCCGAAAGGTCAAAATAATAAATGTAGACTCAAATGAGGCTCTCAGCACACACAAAGGGGGCAAAACGTAGCAATTTGGCAGCGCAGACTCTCATAGCGTGATAAACTCATTTAAAGAAGCCAAGATAAAGCAAGAGCAGCATGGGTCCATAGAGGGAGAAGGGACTCTCAGATTTGGCAGACAGGCCTGACTCCTGCACTGTTCCTTTTCTCTGCACAGCAGCCCCAAATCACCTCCCCCCAAAGTAACGTATATTTTGTAATAACACAGCAGCTATGAGGCTTAGTAACATTGCTGTTTTGTGTTTTTTTTACTTTTATTTTGTTAATGCTGAAATGATAAGCCACTGTGAAAAATGTGTAATACAACCCAACGGGGCATAAAGCGACTTTATGTAAACATCAGACCTACAACGAGCTTAAGTGGAAAAAAAGATTAATTAATTAGCTGTGTGTACCCTTGCATACATATATATATATAACCTGTCCCTTGTCACCCGAGAGAATTTAGTAATTAAAAAATAAGAAAAAGCTTGTGTGTATAGGAGAGAAAGGTAGTTAGAATTATTCCCTCAATTATGCTTTGCCCTGGATCCTTATACAATCTTGAGCTGGGTCTGTCCCTCCCTAAATGTGGTTTTCTTTGATGAACTTATTCTTGGACTCTAGATATAGAAAGGTTTTGATCAGGTGCAATTTTCATGAGACAGACTTTCTGATTCAACCAACTATGAAAAAATTGAATGGAAAACTATCTTGTCTTGCCAATTTGAAGTAAATTGCCCTGTGTTATTTATTATTAATAAAACAGCACAATCGGAAGATTGTTCAAAATGAAAAATATATTGCTACTATAGGAATATTTGATTAGGATTTGAGATTTTGCATCTGAATTAACAGTTTTCACACTTATTTAGCAGAATTTCTGAAGAATTTAGATTACCCTTTTCTGTATCTAATAAATAAACATCTGTCTGCTGAGTACAAGATATTTTTTTAAAGATAAGATTTATTTATTTGTTTTGCTTGTGATTCATTTTCTGGCCAGCAGGGGCTTAGAAACTAAACTAAAGGCGGAAGTAATTGAAGGGAAATCCTCTCGGTTCACTTCAGTCATTCTGGTTCTGTACTGCTCGGATGGTAGGATGGTGGTTCTGAAAGGGATCCCCTCTGTTTTGTCCCCTGATCTGCTGTATGCTCTCGCCAAAATGGGCCACGGGGATGAACTGGGTATGATCCATAGCTCTATTCATATCCTCAGTGCTTGAGCGCTGTAGTCTGAACTAATATGCAACATGGAGCCATTTTATGTCAACACTACTGAACAGCTTTCATGTTTTACTTTCTGCAGTTCTTGCAGATGCAAATTTCCCTACATCTTCTATTTGTGCATGTGGCCCTAAAGAGATAAGAGCTGATGGTAAAATAAAATAAAAATCAAGCCAGAGTATATAACCATTTCTTACTCTAATTCTGTCTCATCCTGGTTCCAGGTTTGGGAATCCCACAGCTTTTAGATGCAATTTTAAAGCTGTTGCCCCTGGATACCTATGTCCCCAGCCCGGTACAGGATCCACACACGCATGTCAAAATTAGATGTTTTGTTATTATAGTGCCTTTTAATTTTTTTTTGTTTTTTGTTGCAGCTTTATTCCAAATTGAGTTAATTAGATGTATCCTTCAAAACACTTATGCAAAATATTACCAACTGAAAAAAGTTTGAACAATGAGCTTTTGATCAGTGTTTACAGCCCTAATGTTGTCTTGAAAAGCCTGTATAAATTCTCAGTCATCCAGGTCCTGGCAGAAATTAAAAAACAGTTTTAAATCAGAGGCAACTTCAAATTTCATTTAGTTTTGTGAGTTTTTTTTTAAGACCTTCAACACATATCCAGGAGACCTTTGTCAGTTATCTTGTCTCGCACTAGAGCAATGTGTAGTTGGAATGCTGAGTTTTTTTTTTTAGCAACATTGGAGTCCATTCTCCATCCAGATCCAAATCCAAGACTCACCCGTTGTTCTCCTGGGTTGTTGAAATCTTTTATTGTGTATGGGTTATGTGTTTGGTCTTTTGAATCAGGATAAATTGGTTTGTGTAACTATTTTGGAATTAGCTCCAGGACCGAATACGTAGCCATACCACTGCAGCATTTCACACTCATGAAATTTTTGACCAATCACGCAATGTTAGACAAAGAAGATCAAAGACCACACAGGATGCTCCATTACATATCATGTTAAAAAGCAGAACTGACCAATCAAGTTGTGGAAATAGCTGCAGGATGACAGTGGAACAGGATGTACCTGAGTTAACTTTGAGTGTGTTTGAATGTTCTATCAATTTAGAGATATAACATTAATAAACTTCAGGAATATTTTAATTGATTCCATTTGGAATAAGGCTGACACCTCAACAAAATGCACAAAAAAAAAAAAAAAAACTTTCTCTTTAGTAATTCAACATAATATGTGTTGCCAACAGGCAGCGGTCATGGATCTGGTAGACAGTGACAAACAAAGATGTCTAGCTGTCCCTGTGTGGGAAACTTACTCACAACTCCTCAGCCAAGCAGGCTCTCAGGTATTAAAGACTATATCACTTAATGTGGATGGACAGAATGTTAAATAGCAAAGAGTTCTGATTTTCATTTACTTGCAGAGTCCTTTGGAGAAAGTGGAAAGATTTTCTTTCTACGAACGAGCCAAGAAGGCCTACGCTGTTGTGGCAACCGGGTATGTATCTGCTCAGCCTTAACTTAAACATACTGACAGGGGTTTCCTACCAGAGTCCAAAAAAGCACCCTGCATGTTATAGATCCTGAGTATTTTATCGGGTTATGCAGAAGTTTTCTAATGACCCAGTCATTGAATTTTAGTTTGATGAACAAGAAAACATTGTCTTCACAGTAGGTAGAATGTCTCGACAAGGGCTGCAAGTGAATATGGAAAAAAATCAAATAAATAAATGACCATTATTCATGGGTGTTCTGGAGCGCTGCATAAGTTCATGACTTGTCGGGTAATGATGATTATGAGGAAGGGTAAGGATCAGCCTGCAAACACAGAGAAGAGAAATCAGAGAAGTTTGTTACTGATTGCAGCTGGGACCACAGTTGCCACTTCCCTGCTTTGCTGATTAAGAAGAGAGAACTATTCTCCGGTCTTTTGTTTACCCAATGAAGAGTTAAACCACTCACACAACAGACAAAAAGTGCTGTGGTCAGATGAGACAAAATACAAGCTGTTTGTAGAGAAATTCTGAGCATACCCCAAGCACAATATCCACACAGTCATGCATTGGTTTCAAGGGCGTAGGTTTGATTTGAACTTTGGTAGGGACACATTGGTCTGGTGTCATTGGTGCTATGCAATATGCATGCCCTTTTTTATGCTCGATGTGAGCATCCGTACTGATAAGAGGAATTCATTGTTAAAAGAGAAAAGCAACATTTTGCTCCATTAATAAAAATGTTATAAGCTCTACACTCATTAGATGCTGTTTATCAATGTTTGAAGTATCACCGGCTCTGATGAATGTGGAATTAGGACTGTTTTCCACTTTGAAAACGGTTTCCTTTGAACGACTAAGAGAGAAGGTAAATACAGTATTTTCTTCTGAAGATATAGAATTGTGCAGAGTTAAACCCCACTCTAATATTTGTACCTACTATTCTCTCTCTGTATCAAACAAAATAATACATTCATTAAGATATTAACTTCACTATAAAAGTTGAACATCTGGGCTGTAGTTACTCTGTGAAGCCAATTTCATGTATTTCATCTGGGGCTGAAAAAAATGAATCATATTAATTGATTATTTCAATAATCGTCAACTAATTTAGTAAGTGATTCATCATTAACTGGAGTATAGAGACTTTAAAACACACAGTAATATAAATGTAAAATGTGCCTTTCCCCACAGAGCAACCCACTTAGATCAGTTATTATATCAAAATTGTAAAAATAAAAACAAAAAAATGAAAACAGTAATATCAACTTAATATCGGTAAAAAGCAAACCCTCACATTTTCTTTTTTAGGTGGCTGTGGCTAAGAATCAGAAATGTTGATGGCTTACAGCCTTTATTTGCCCATTTTTCCAGCAGTCTTCAGAACTCCTGGCTGACTCAGAATATTTCGTTTTATAAAAGAAAAAAAAAGGTTTTTGTTTTTTAGTGTACATGATATTAATTTTTTTTTAATCGGGACTAGTTTTGTAGCCTAATATTAATTGTAGTAACCGCTGCATTCTAGTGTGAATAAATTTTCAATGTTGCGCTACAAGCACACGCGGACTAGAAAACAGCCAATCAGAGAGAGAGAAGGCGGAACTTAAGGCAGAACAACCAATGAGAGTTGAGTTAAACAGCGCAGCACAGTTCCATGCGCTGCTACATGAAAGGGACAGGAGAGACCAGGCAGAGGAGCTGCGAGAGGAAAAGAAGCAACTGCTGTAAATTATTGTTGCTCACATCCAATTATTGGTAGGGACAATTAGGTCGGTTCAAAATTTTTGTATTTTGGTAATTATGGTCCCTATGCAAACCTACGCCCATGATTGGTTTGTTGACTTTATCACACTGAAGGGTCCAACGAATACTGCAGTGTTTCAGAAGCTCTGAGAATCTTCTTTCCTGAGTCAGAATGGGAATAATTCAAGGTGATGCATACGTCTTCCAACGTGATAATAGTGTGAAATGTGAAGCCATAACAAAGAAGTAGCACATTTTGGTCATAGAGTGGTCGAGCCTTCCTCCTGACAGTAGTTCAACAGAAACTTTGTGGAAGAATATGAATTTAAAATATTTGGTGCACTGAAGATGGATGGACAAACTTCAATCATTTTTCCTCACAATAAAACAAAGAAAACTAGTAACTAGAAAAAGCTGTTTCGGAAAAACAGCAAAGTGGGAATCCTTTTTTTGCTGAATGAAAAAAGCTGAAATTAACTGCATAACATATAAAAATGTGATAGGAAGTCATCAGAAAGTACAAACTGCAGAAAACAATAATCTGAAGATTTTGTAGGGAAGAATCATCTGGCAGTAAAATGGCAGAAACAGACTCATCTTAAAAGCTGCACAGCCAAACCATACATGATATAAAAAAATGTGTTCAATGTGGACACTAGAAGGGTCTAAATGTAATGTCTCCCAAGTTTCTAGGAAATGTTCTAAAGAAATTTTGAAGGGGGGCACCTACTGCCCAGAAACATGTCAGGCCTGTTATGAATTAGCAGCAAACAGAAAATCTTAATTCCTGTCCAGAAAGAGAGCAGAATGAAGCCAAAGTTCACAGCCTTGGCTGAAAAGTATTAAATTAGCTGAATCAGAAAATAAATTACAAAGAAAAACTTGAATCTTATCTGGTTGAAGAAAAAATGAGTAGCTCAAGGATGGGAAGTAAAATGTTGAGGAAGATGGTATTGAATAAGTATCAAAATTTAGAAATTGTGGAAATGTCAAGACTTGGCAAAACAATTTGAAAATATTTAAAATGTGTCGGTTGATCAGCATAAAGTAAACAGTGTCATCATTTGAGGATTGAAAATCTACAAACCTATATGCAAGACTGACCATTAGAAGAAGAGAAAGGACAGAGAGAGAAGCTTATAAAAAGAGAGCTAATACCACTTAAGGAGCTGAATTTATCAAAAAATTTAACCTGCATGTTACGAGCCGCTGTGTTGATGACAGCACCGTTGGCAGGCTTAGGCTGCATGTTACGAGGTTAGCAGATGCTTTATTACAGTGTAAATCTTAGAACCTGATTAAGAAATATGCACTGAGGTGTGTGGTCAACAGGCCTTGGTAGTGTAATTTGAAGAAATTGGTTGAGTCTGGGTCATAGCTACGAGCCATACGGCACAATGAATGAGTGTATGTAAGGAAGAGGCTTTTATTTTGTAGAGTCCCTTTAGTCTTATTTCGAAAGTCTATCATGGATGTGTGTCAAGGGAAGGGTCATGCCCAGCAGTGATATAGAATCCATTTCTAAATATGAAATCACTGGTTTTCCATGTTATTGGGTGAATAGATGCTGTATTAGAGTGTAAATGGGAGACTTTTCTTGTGAAATTTGCTCTGTTGTATGTTTTGAAAAGGTCCCTAGAGTCTAATAGAAACAAGCTGGTAGAGTTTGGGTCATAATGCTGGGCCATTTGCATCAATTAATACACGAGTAAAATATGGAGGCTTTTATTTTGAAGAGTCGCTGGAGTCTTATTTTGAAAGTCTAGCAGGGTTGTGTGTAGAGAAATGGGTCAGACCCAGCAGTGATACTTGATGACTTTTCAATCGTTAAATCACTCTTTTCCCTTGTTATTAGGGCAGTAGATGAACTGGCAATGGGAGGCTTTTATTTTGAAATTTTCTGTGGGGTGTGTTTTAAAAAACCCCTAGAGTCTAATTTTTAAAAAAGTGGTTGAGTTTGGGTCATAATGTTGAGCCATATGCTGGGAACAAAAATATGAGTTTAATGTAGGAGCTTTTATTTTGAAGGGTCCCCGGAGTCTTATTTTGAAAGTCTATCAGGGTTGCATGTGAAGGGAAGGGTCATGGCCAATAGTCATATTGTATCCACTTCCTAATGTTAAATCAGTGTTGTCTCCCTCCATTAGATTAAAATGTGCTGTTTAAAGTGGCAGAGGTAAAATCCCTTTGAAGCTCGGTTACCTTGACAACGCTTAACGAGCCTGTCAGTGACAGAGAGAAACGCGCTTCACTTTCGTTCCTTTCCTCTCAGGCTTTTTTGAATGGGAATATCAGCTCCGAACAAACGAGTGCTGAAGACAAACTGTAAATGGTATCTAAAAAATTCTTTCAGTCTAAGCGAGAGCTATCCTTTGTCTCCAATTGGGGTAACTTTCATGGCTGTAGCTCATTCACAGCCTTAATGGGAAGGAGAAATATAAAGGTTTATAAATCCTGCTGGTCTCATTAAATAACGTGCAGCTCAATGGTAGAGCAGAACTCTCAAAAGCAAAACTTTCCCTCTGAACAAACGAGCGGTGAGCCAAAACCGTAAAAGGTATTCAAAACATTCTTTCACCGTGAGCGTCGGCAATCTTTGGACTACAACTGGTGTAACTTTCATATTTCTACAATATTTGGTCTAGGCGTGGTGACGATGTAAAAAAGTGTATAATTGTCAAAATCTTGATTTTGGGGTTCGGACAGATTTGTTACCCCCGAACAAACCTTTTTCCTAGCTAAACGATAAAAGATATCTACACACTTCCTTCAATGTGAGTGCTAGGAAGGTCTGAGGAACAACTTGCACAAGGCTCATGTTGCTAGGTCGAATGGTTCCCGAATGGGAGCGATACGAAAAAGTCTGTTTTTTTTTTATTTTCAGTTCAGATTTTCAGAGAGCTCTCATTGGATTTCTATGGGGGAAGTGTGGGCTTCTTCGTGGTCTGGGCCAAACTGTTGGAAAACTGTAAATCCCACACAAATGAGGGTTACATTTCCTGAATCCTGACAAAAATCCCTACGTTTTGATGTAAAATTTATCTAGATAGAGTAAAAAATGAGCGAGTGAGTTGAAGCTGTTCGGCATGAGTGAAATGTTTGAAAACGCTAGAGTGGCACACTAGCAGCTGAACATCCCGTCCATAGACTTCCATTATAAATTTGAAAATCTGTAAAAATTGTTTAAAAGTTTGAAGCTTCACTGAAGCAAAACTGTAAAAGTTAGCTGAAAGCCGAGTTAAACAGTAATAGCAGAAAGATACGGAAACATTTTAAAAGTTGAATGGTGTTTCTAGCTGAAAGTATGCTGAAGTAGTTAAAGGTCAAAGATAATGAAGTTTTAGCTGAATTTTGCTGAAATCTAAGAATTCTACATGCATTTCAATGGGACAAAAAAATCGCAGAAAAAGTTGAATATCGCGAAAACTACAAAAAATATCTTTACCAAAAGACATAGCACAATTCTCCTGAACAAGCTGAACGTTTTGATACCAAAATTGTTGAAATCGGTGGAAAACTGCGGGACTAGTTAGAGTCAGAAAAATTTTAAGTGAACAACAATAAGTGGGAATGCATAAGCATTCCCACTTGATTACTTGTTGAGTCTTTGACAGCACCTGAGTATGTGGCATGAACCAAACTCATAGCTATGCAATCCAACAGATTCAACTGGTAGCCTGACAGTGCAACTATATTGACATACATGCAGAATATGTGTAAATGCTTTTAAATCTTCAACACATTTACATTATTTACCATGGTGAAACAGTAAAAAATATCTTCAGCAAGCAAATGTGAACAATTTAAATTAATGATCTGTGGTTGAGCTCGGTGTTCTAGGGACCCACAATCAAAAGCTTTTTTTTTTAAGAATATGGTCTTCACTCTTTGAATTGAAAAGCTACACATCAGTCACTTCATGTTTTTTTTTAAAACAGTGAGTTTGATATTAACTTTTTTTTTTATCCCCAGGGAAACTGCTCTGTATGGAAACCTAATATTGAAGAAGGGAGTTATTCCTGCTGAGCTGCTGCATTGAAGCCAAACTACTTTTGATAGATGTTTTAATTTTGTATCGTTTTTGAGGAATCTAAGTCAAACATGTAATTACTTTCTGTTAAAAATGGTTAAAATAAGGAATCCACAGTGATCACAGAAATGACTTGCATCTGACAAAAGAATAAGAATAATAAGAAAAGAATAATAAGAAAAAAAAATTATGAAAATAATAAATGAAATGCCAGACATTGTTTTCCAACCATGCTTTATTGAATGATTAAAAACAACTAAACGCACAAAACAGGCCTGGACAAAGATGATATACTTTACCTAATAGTTTTTAGATGTTTTAAGGCAATAACTTCAGTCGAACAAGTCACGTAAGTGTCAATAACATTCTGCATCTCTCAGCAGGTATCTTGTCCCACACCTGATGAGCAAACTGCACATGTTGTCTGAGGTTTGAAGGGTGCCTGTTCTAGACGCCATGTTTCAGCTCCTTCCACAGATGCTCAAAAGAATTAAAGTCATTGCTCATAGATGGCCACTTCAGAATAATCCAATGTTTTCCTTTTAATCATTCCTGGCTGTTTTAGGTGTGTGTTTTGGGTCATTATCCAGTTGCAGGACCCATGACCTGCCACTGAAACCAAGCTCATTTCTCTCTATACACCATTCATAGTCTTTGGTTCTCATTGTACCCTGCAGAGACTCCAGTCATCCTGTTCAAGATGAAGCAAAGCAGCCCCAGATCATAACAGAACCTCCTCCATGTTTCACAGTACAGATAAAAAGAGTAGGGATTGATTTGCTTCGTTTTTGCGACTGTGACCATGGAACTTAAAATGTTATCTCATCTGGATATTTTCTCCGAAGTTTTTGTGGCCTGTCCACTTTGGTTCAAACAACATTGGAATTTCGATCTGACACTGATGTCCTTGAGCTTGAAGTCCACCTCTAATCTCTTAAAAAAAAATTATTCTGGGCACTTTTGTTAACATTTTAATTCCCGTTCTCTTTGATTTATCATCAGTTTGCGGCCACATCCAGGGATGTTAGCTGCAGTCCCGTGGAATTTAAATTTCAGAATATGTGCAACTGTAGTCACAGAAACATTGAGATGCTTGGAGATGGTCTTGTGGCCTTTACCTTTAACATGCTTGTCTATCATTTTCTTTCTAATCTCCTGAGATTTCATTAAGAGATTTCTTTCTAATCTCTTTCCTTTGCTTCCTCTGGTTCATGTTGAGTGTGGTACGGCCCATGTCGCCAAACAGCACAGTGACTGCTTGTAGCCCCATATATAGGCCCATTGACCAATTACAAGATAGTCAACAGTTGTGATGCAAATTTTTTTTTGTCCAGGCTTGTCTCATTAGTTTATTTTTTTTAATCATTTCATCAAAGCATGATTGAAAAGCAATGCCTATTTTTCCATTTCCATAGAATCTTTATTTAATATCACTTTTGTCAGATTCAAGTTATTTCTGTGACCATTATGGTTTTTCTTTCATTAAACCAACAATTTAGTTAACATGGGAAGATCATTTTTGATGTATTCTACTTTAATCAATGTAACAAAAATGGTCTGTTTGCTTTTCATGGTTCAAATCTGATCTTGTTTTAACCCTGTGCCTTTCTCATTTTCCTCTTTAAATAAAACCGTAAGCCTTTAATGACTGTGTAAAAAAACATCTCAACAGGAAAGACAAAATACACCAATACTAACACATAGGTGTTACTGTAAATTGTTTAATAGAATCAAATTACACTGATCCACATGTATGTATTACATCTGACATGTTTGCAATAAATGTTTAATCCTGAATCACTGGTGGTAGAGTCCATCCAGGTCCTCCTCTGGCTTGGTGTACTTCCTTTGAGAAGGAAGGACAGCAGGAGCTTCACGGACTTCTTGTTGAACCACTGGGAGGAGGAGTTTTCTATGATAAAGATCATCCAGATCCTCCTCTGGCTTGGTGTACTTCCTTTGAGAAGGAAGGACAGCAGGAGCTTCACGGACTTCTTGTTGAACCACTGGGAGGAGGAGTTTTCTATGATAAAGATCATCCAAGTCCTCCTCTGGCTTCAAGTACTTTCGTTGAGATGGCAAATCAACAGCAGCGCGAACCAGGCCTGGTTTAAGTGCTGGTAGGAGGAGATCTTTGTGGTGAAGGTCATCCATGTCTTCCTCAGGCTGAAGATGAATTCTCACCTCCCTCATTTGCTCCATCTTTGCAGGTGAATGTTGGTGCTCATTCTTCTTTTCAGCTTTTTGTTCAAATTTTCTGATCTGAGCTTGAAGGTCAAGAGTTGAAGGATGGTACATCTCATCCAGATCCTCCTCAGGCTTCAGGTGATGTTCGCTGATCTTCATGTTTTTCCAGATCTTCATACTGGGGTCAATCTCATAATGAATACCATCCATGTCTTCTGGAGGCTCCACCTCAGTTCCCCAGGCAATTTTCCCTTTTTCATCAAGGGACCTGTGATTTTAAAAAAAAATGCATTCTCAGCCTTCATCCTAGGAGTCCACATAATCATACCTTTAATTAGAGAAAATGTCAACTTACACAACCATTTTCTTCAAGAGTTCGTCTGACATTTTTTTCTGAAGAGGAGAGCAAATATTAGTCATCTATCACCAAAAAAAAAAAACTCTTAAAAGTTTTTATCATTTGATCTGAACAGCACCCATATATACTTACCATTGGCTTTGCATTAACACTGAATATCAGCAAAACGCTGAATATGAAAGAAATTCTGTACATAAAAAGACATTAAATTAATTAGAGTTCAAGCATATTCCAATAACTATTTTAAGAGATCTTTAACTTGCATACCGGATCATGGCGTCTACTTCTGTAGTCAGGTTTGTAATGAGGAACTCTCCCAGAGTTAACCCACAGTGGAAAGAAAAGGACCAAAGTCCCAGCAATAAACCTGCTGTGTTTTCTTGACCTTTGTAATCTCGTACCTTAGTGAAGTCAGCTGTAAGTGAGTCACCATTCTCTATCTGGTCTATACGGTGCATTAAAAACAGCCATTAAGCTGTTATTAACAGTAATGTGTACCAGTTGCCGGTCCCAAGCCTTCGTGAATTGTTAATTTTTGACACCAGCGCAGAAAAAATGCATTAGAAATTGTTATTTATTGCATCATATGTTTGTCTTTTACTATTTGAATAGTAGAACTGAACCATATCAACAGTGGGTTAGAAAACATACAAACATATACTAAACATGTTTACTGAATCACATGTACAGAAGAATAAAGTGTTATGTGTAAGTGTGTGATACAGGGAATAGAAATACCTTTTCATTATGTTTCTTTTAACTGTGATTAAAGCATAGTTTATTGGTACTTAGTTAATAATAGCAGCAGGTTTATAATGCAGCTGTCGTGTACCATCGTAACAAAGCAATTTCTGCTGGTTAAAGAAACAAATAGAGAACATATTATTTAACAGGTGGCAGTCAGCTGGAGACAGAAGACTCCACACTAAGCTGAGGCACAGATTGTACGGGTCTTTGTTATAAAAGAGAAGGAAAAACATAAAAGAAACTTCAGCTCACTAAAACAATAATCTGACACCTGATGATGAGCATCATTACTGTAAGAAAATCCCATAAAAGTCGCCCTGCAGCAGGGCTCTATTTGAGGCTAACCACAGCTCTGTCTGCTCACTAAGTCCTCAGTCAAATTCCCCCGACACTCATAACAGTTGGAAATCTAGGGTTTTCTAAATGACTAAAATTACCTCAATGATCTGCAATTAACTTAACTGATGCTTCACCAACATTCATTGAACACACATCAGACATCTAATGGAGTTTAGAGCAATAATTACACGGCACAAAGGAAGGACCTCCATAGAAGAACAGAGGAAAAATAATCTATCTTTCAACATTTCTAAGAAATTCATTTTTAAGAGATTTTTTTAAGGTGAGTAAAATAGAGTTTTGATAATATGGGATCTGGAGCTACCTGACGACTGCATATAATTCTCATTACAGCCTCCAACCAATATTAGTAGGGGATGGAAACGGGGCTGCACAGCTCTGCAGCAGAGGGAAAGTCTGATGTAATGTAACAGATGATAGGGCACTTGGGCGTTTGTCAGAGGGAGGCACACAACATTGTCATTCATCTTTTTGTTCACAGCAGCAAAGCTGAACTTGCACAGTTTTGGCTCTGTCAGTCATCAAAATAACATATTTAAGACCAAATATTCTGAAGGAATAGCTGAGGTGGTCTTCCTCAGCTTCTCCTTAAGCAGAAACAGGTCCAAGAAACTTCTCTCAGACACACCCCACATAAACACAGTAAACATGTGGGAGCTGTTAAAGTACGTCTAATGGCTATTTACAGTGTTTTGTGCACTTCTCATTAAAAAGATTTTCCACTTGAGGAAAGCTAATGTTTTGGAAAACTCTATTAAATCAAACACATTTCATGCCAACAAGCGGCACATGTGGCTCTCTTCAGTAATTTAAAGGATTTACCAAATGCTGGGAAAAAAAAGGAAAAAAAGGGGGAACTACAGTCTGTTTTATTTCAAAACCTCCTTTCTGGGTAAATGTTTGGAAAAATACATATAAAACACTTTTGACTTTTCAACCTGATATAACTAATACCTGGATACAAGCTTTAGAGATGGGGTGAGGAGCTCAGTCATCCGGGGAGGACTCAGAGTGGAGCCGCTGTTCCTCCCCATCGAGAGGAGCCAGTTGAAGTGGCTTCGGCATCTGATTAGGATGCCTCCTGGATGCCTCCCTGGTGAGGTGTTCCGGGCACGTCCCACCGAGAGGAGACCCAGAAGGACACCCAGGACACGCTGGAGGGACTATGTTTCTCGGGTGGCCTGGGAATGCCTTGGGATTCCCCTGGATGAGCTGGCCTAAGTGGCTGGGGAGAGGAACGTCTGGGCCTCCCTACTGAAGCTGCTACCCCCGCGACCCAACCCTGGATAAGTGGAAGAAGATGGATGGATCACTTATACTTCCCTGGTTTTTTATCTAAAGTTAAATTTAACTTAAATGTGTGCACCGAGTTTGTATGAAAATATGATAGCAAAGAATGAAGAATTTATCAACTTTTTACCAATCTGACTGCGATCTAGTTGAATTGTCTCTGCAAAGTGCCTTGAGATGAATTAGGTATTGTTAATTGGTCAGAGATGGCAAAA